CACTTCGCGAGCGACATACGCTATGTCTCAGGTGTCGATAACCCCGTCGCCGATGCGTTATCACACATCGCTTCGCTTCACTCCTCATTGACACCAATAGATCTAACTGCTCTTGCAACCGCGCAGAGCAGGGATCCCGACAGAACCATTGCGTCGCAATAGCTCACTGCGCCTCGAACCAGTGCTCATCCNGATGGCAACCTATAGCATTTTTTCGAAGCTATTACAACCTGCCGAGTCTTGCTATAGTGCATTCGGCAGGGAACCCTTAGCCGTTTATCTGAGCATTCGCCATTTCAGACACGCGTTGGAAGGTAGATCATTCATCGTTTTTACCGACCATAAGCCGTTAATTTTTGCCTTACGTTCACCTTCTGACAGGTATTCTCCACGGGAAATAAGACACCTAGACTATGTCACTCAGTTCACGAGCGACATACGCCATGAGTCTCAGGTGTCGGCAACCCCGTCGCCGATGCGTTATCACTCATCACTTTGCTCAACACATCATCGACACCGATAGATCTAACTGCCCTTGCAACCACGCAGAGCACGGATCCCGAAATAGAACCATTGCGTCACAATAGCTCACTGCGCCTTGAACCAGTACTCATCCCAGGTTAAGAACAACCTGTTATTTACGATATCAGCCAAAGTAGACCACGTCCAGTAGTACCCGAAAATTTTTCACTACTCATCTTCGATCAGATGTACGGTACACTCAAGCAACCGCACCACCGTCAAGCTAATCGCTTCTCGTCTCTTCTGGCGTCACGTCACGTTTATGGACTCGAAGTTGCCTTCATTGCCAACGTTCTAAGGTACATAGGCACACACGCTCAGCAATAGGTTCGTTCCCCACACCTGATGCACGTCTTCACCATGTGCACGCAGACATCGTGGGACCTCTTGTCAGGTCAGGCGACGCCGTATACTTATTAACATGCGTCGACCGCTTCCGAAGATGGCCAGAAGCCATTCCAATTCACGGGTGCACTTCAGAAATCGTAGTCTACGCGTTCCTCAGTCAGTGGGTCGCACGTTTCGGTTGTCCGGCAATCGTCACAACCGACCGAGAAGCACATTTAGAAGGAGCATTCTCCAAGCTGCTAGACACCCTAGGCACACACCATAAGACGACGGCCTACCACCTTGCTGCCAATGGTATGGTGGAGCGTTTCCATAGACGACTCAAGGCTGCCCTGCGCGCGTCAGAAAACCCGCGCTGGTCAGAAGTCTTACCGTTGGTCATGCTAGGGCTTCGAGCTACATTTAAAAACGATTTACACACATCCCCAGCCGAACTAGTTTGCGGTCGCTGTCTACGTCTACCTGGCGAATTAGTCTCTCCACTAAAATCGACTGATTTCGAATATGGCGATTTCATAGAGTGCATTAGGAATCACATGCGCCAACTAAAGTTCATTCCGACGAGGGAGCGTGTGGAGCAGGTTCATCAAGCTGCAGCGTTATCCACTTGCCCCTATGTTTTTCTTCGCACGGACGCCGTACGCACTCCGTTACAACCGCCATACACGGGACCACACCGCGTCCTGCGCCCTTAAGGTAGGACAATGGTCATAGACAAGATAGATAAACGCGACATCGTTACGTTAGAGCGGGTAAAACCAGCCTTCACCGACTAAGAAGAAATGCCATCACCACAGTCTAGTACTAGACCTGTAGAAGCCGTCTAGCCTTGACCATTGCTAATAGTGGCAGACCCTTTTCCTCCCGCAACGCCCCAAGAAACTAGCGCC